GGTGGTGGTATTATTAGCATAATAATAATAATCATCCAGAATGTTTGCTTATGGTTATCATTACAATTAGAGATGGGCATGAATTGCTGGTTTAGTGCCCCATCCCCTCAAGTGGGCACCCATTTGGCAGTAACATCCAGAGAAGGCAGGGCAGGGTGCTGCTGCTGAATGGGCTCCCACTGGAGGTAGTGGGATACTGAACTTCAGATCAACTGTTTGGCCGGGAAATGAACCAAGCCAAACCACCAAACAAGCAGTTTGTGCCCATCTCTAATTACAAACCTAGTAATGCTGTTCCAAATCATCAGTAATTCAATAATGGTCAGAACACAGCCAAACAGCCCAAAAAACCTACAACAACCATCAGATCCCAGCCGTGAAAGTCTTTGAGAATGCATCAATAATTTTTTTTATTAATTAGATAAATTTACAATGGACCAGATGTTAAATAAAGAATAAAACCAGTAAGTCCCAAGATCACTGTTCCCATACTAGTGACAATTATCATTCTTGTTAGATTGCATAGTAATTTTCATTTAATCAACATTGCAAGAAATGATTCAATAAAACAGAAACAGTGGATGCAGAAACAAAATAAATCAACCATACTTCTTGGTGTCCATGAATTGGACTTAGTAGGACATGATCAAATATTAGAACTAATTAACTATATGTAACATAGTTACCTGTAGGTAGTTATTGTTTTGGGTATGAATAGTGTAACTAAGTTATATTTTAAATGCAGTATAATAAATAGCTAAGAAGTTACTGTTTTGATGTAATATATGACTTTTCTATTTATTTTCAAAAGTTAACAATTAAAGGGAATTTTCAGAAGCAACTGATAGGAATATTTCCAGTTTTATACCACAATTCTACTGTACTAGTCTTCGTAAGGGGCCTTTTTGTTTGTTTGTTATTTCTGAAATATTTTCAAGGCATAGTATCAAAATTGGCTATTGGGGGAAATGAAGAGTATTTATCTGCATTTTTCCAGCTGCTGCTAAACACAAGAGAAACAACAATGACAGTGATCTGTCTGCTACTAATGCAACAACCACAAATTAAAAAGATAAAACATTGAACCTCTGTACATGAAAACTTTAAATGAAAAGCCAAAGTTTATTTAATTAAAAGAGCACTGATTTGGTTGTTGGGGTAGGAGCAATGAAAAGTTGAACCACATTCTGTAATTAATTACAGGACTGAGGGAAAGTAAAAGGGGCACCTCCTCAGTCTGGATGATAGTGCATGCAATGTCCAGTTCCAGGGGGAGGGATTGGGGGCAGTGTCATTTCCCCCTAATCTATAAATCTTGCATTTTGCATACCATGAATTTTATTCTGTAGAAATCAGCGGGTATTGCATGGACATGAGAATGCCATGATGTGCATAGTCATGTCCTGGGTTCCATTAAAAAAAACCCAACTAATTTATGAGATAGAGGATATGGAATCTGTGATTTATATGTTTTCTGGGATTATATAAAAAGGACAAAATAAGAAGAACTAGAGAGAAGAGGGATTGTCTACTGAGATCTTATGACCAGTGCACTCTAGTTCTGTTCATAACCTGGCTATTAATTGCCAAGTGGATGTTACGTTTGGCCCTGACTGCAGTTTTATGCCAGCCATCTGGCTACTAAGGCCATTCTTGTCCACATACAGCACCTAACCTCTTCTGTATAGGAACAAATCCTTGTCATTTGTAGCAAAGTTCTAAATTAGGCAGTACTCTTATTGGATCATGCTTTAATATTCTCTGGCCTCTTTATTAAGGTGAAGATACTATAAAACCTGGGGCTTAGGCAAAAAATCCAACAGTTGGGCCGGATGTGATGCCGGTGACTTGTTAAGTGAGATTGCCAAGAAAAAAAGAATCAAGCCTCTTTCTGTCTGCATAATTCTGACTCTTTATATGAATATTCCAGGGCTGGATACTGTTCTGTGGCTACCCTTGGAGCATGACTGTATGTTAGAGATAACATATGGTTCAGATGAATGCCTCCAGAAGGCCTTTTGCATAGGAGTATTTGATGGTGGCATGAATGAAAGTGTCAAGAAGCGCTCTATTGATGCCTCCATAACTGATAACGGTAGATAATAATTTTCTTCTTTTTTAAAAGCACAGCAAAAGAAGAAACATATTCTGCTTGCTTCCACTGTAAGCACCCATCTGGAAACTATTTGCAACATTTTGTCTGCACAGGAGTTTCAGGTCAAAAGTCTGAATAATTGAATTTTAGAGCTGACACTTAGATCTTTCTGTCCATCTGTCTATTCACATAGAGTTGCATCCACTGAATAAGGGAGGCCAAGCTGCATGTCTTTCACACTGGTCTGTCTTTTTAATTTGCAGCTTTTTCATCTGTGTGGTTGTTTCAGCTGAGCAGTTTCCCTGCATTGGGAGAGTGGCATTGTGCCTTCTCCCCTGCCCCTGTTCAGTGTATAGTATTTCTGAAAATGTATGCAAATTGAAAAAGTAAATTGGGATGTTTTCAGTTTTTGGTAGGGTCCTGAACACATTGACAGAGTTTTTGTGTGACCACTCTACCTAGCTAGTTTATGTAGCCCTTTTATTAATGTGGTTCAATGATATGTTTCCTTGGATCTGGAAAAAAAAATCTGAGGAACTGGTATGCTTTGTATCAAAAGATATCAGACGCTATTCACAGAATAAACGATGCAAGAAGAAAACAGTTTAGTGCAACAGTTACAGATAGTGTATTCTGTGTGTAATATCTTTTTGGTAATAATTTTAGCACTGGTTTTTATAAATATTAAGACTTTCCTGTTCAGTCTTGTTTGCTGTATCAACTGGAAATGAAAACTCTTTCTCAGATTTCAGATTTTGCTGTATAAGCTTAAGATGATCTTTAAAACAGCAGCACAGGAATATGCTTGACAGCTCTCAAATGAAGGGTTATAAGCGTATCTCTATATGAAGTTAAGCCATACAGAGGTCTTAATTTGGTGGTAAATAGCATCATTATGTGGAATGTTTTTTAGAAAAAAATGAATTGCAATAATCAGTCAGTCGATTGAGTGAGTGAGTGAGTCTTCCATTCCGACATGAATGTTAATGTCACAAATGAAAAATATAGACACTGGACCATTTCCAGAGCTACTGAACAGATGGTTCATGACTGAGCAGACCCCTTCCCTTGAAATTTTAAGCTGAGGTTTAAGTACCCTCTTTGTTCAATATGTGAGTCATCCTGTGTATCCCCAGTTTTTTCTTTGAAAAAAGGTCAGCCATTTGATAATAGATTAGACTTGAAGTTTCATAGTTGCCTCCAGAGCAAGATGACTAGCAAGCCATGGACCAAGAAAATTTCTTCTGAAAAATCAGAGTTCTGTCTCTTAACATAAGGGTGCTGGCAAATTTATGCTGCAAATTTAGTTTGAAATGTCAAGTGGTATGGGTAGCCATATTAATGTGTTGCAGCAGAACCAGCCGCAGTGAAGTGGACTGCGGTCCACAAAGGTTTGTGTCAAATAAAACCTTCATAGTTTCTTAGGTGTGCAGGTTTCTTTATGGTTTGAAATGGGTCTCAAAATCCTCAGAAAGTTAGATGCTATTTTTAATTCATTGCCTGTGTGGAAGTGCTAATATTGGATTCCTTATAATAGGCAGAATTAGTGAATTTATTGGAATAATATATTTTCAAGTCACTGATTTTGCTTGTGATTGACAGAAGTTACTAATTTTTGATATCAAATTCTAACTCTACTGCTCATTCAAATAAGGACCTCAACTTTGGAACTTGGAGATTCTGCTTTCCTAAATAATCTGACATCACAGATGCACTTTCCCCTGAAACCTAACAATCTTAGACTGTGATATTAGTCCCTCAGTTAACATTGCTGCATGGAATGCTTCCCAAATAACCAGGACCATGTGTGGAAACAAGGAAGAAGGATAAAGGGTTAAACTAAGGCCACAGTTGAACTGGTGATCATTTATGGGGACAGTGCTGAAAACTAGACATAAGAAAGGATAGAGACATCATACGTAGGTAAAGTAGTGGCTCATCCCTGCTTGTTGACATCAGCCTGGCCCTGTCAACCTGGAGTCCTGTGCCTCATCCTTGCTTTGCTTGCAGACACACTCTGCCCATAGTCAGCAATTGGTGGTGGGATGCTGTTCTTTTTCTTTTTTTAATGAACTTAGCTTACGCATGCCCAAGGATGAAACCAGTTAATATTCTTTGGAATCCCCCTCCAGACAGTTCTGATTTGATATCTAATCATTTAAATAACTTCTTGTGTTGATTATGAAATATTATTCACAGTTTTTTTTAAAGAATGATGATCCTTTTCTCCTGTTTCGGTTTCTAAAACAACTAAAACTAAGGTGTGTTTTTAATTATTATTATTATTACAGCCTGCCAGTGCAATGGACATAGCACCTGTGCCAATGGCAATGTTTGTGAGCAGTGCAAAAATCTGACTACAGGAAAACAGTGCGAAACATGTATGCCTGGATATTATGGCGATCCAACAAATGGAGGCCAGTGCACAGGTGAGTTAAAACAATGTTTCCATTGTGTTCCTCGATGGAATGTATGGAAAGTATTTCCGAAACACATTGTTTGATAGTTTGATTTAATGGTAAAGAAGAAAACTTACACTTGATCTGACATGACTTGCATTTGCAATCAGTAGTTAGTGTACTGATGAGGAGCAAAACTTGCCCTCATTAGGTGGTATCAAGGTTCTCCTTCTTCCAGTGAATCCCCTCAGGCCAACCACTGCTACTTTTGGAAACAGAACGCTGTCCATGGTGCATTTTTAGTGTGAACCTGAAGACTGCTTTATTAATATTATTTACAGTGATTGGAGTCACACTGCTGATCACTTTTTGGGCAATTTATTATTGAATATATTTTATTCGCATGCTATATAATAAGCAAGGCAAATAGGACTGTGCAAGTTTTGCTTTTCAGTTTCAACTATAAAGAGCAGCATCAGCTTCTTAAACTTATTCAATACTTCCATGGTTTTCTTTTAATATTTTCAGCAGCAGAAAGCAAAACAGAATCCCAGTTAGCTGTTCAAGTCCAATAAAAACCCCAACCCCTCCAAACACAGCCCTGTGTTCTTCAACCCAGTTCTTCCATTTTAGGACACATCCCTGATGATTAATCCCTATGGCGTATGCAGTTCTCTGTTATATTTGTCCAAGGCTGATTAATCCCTATGGCATATGCAGTTCTCTGTTATATTTGTCCAAGGTTCTCAAGACATCTCTCAATAAAGTTTGGAACTTCTCTCTGTAAATACAGACAACAGCCCCAGCTATGATTTCAGGTACAGTGGGGTCTCGACTTATGAACTTAATCCGTATTGGAAGGCAGTTCTCAGGTCGAAAAGTTCTTAAGTCGAATCTGCATTTCCCATAGGAATGCATTGAAAACCATTTAATCCGTATCTGCTCTTTTCGTCCATAGAAACTAAAGGAAAGCTGCTATTCCGCCTTCTGCCACTAGAGGGGGATATTTTTTTCTTTTTTCCTTTTAACCTAAGATGACTTAGCTTTAAAAAAAAAGGAAAAAAAAGAGTTTGTAACTCGAATCTAAGTTCGTAAGTCGAGTCCATATATTCCTATGAGAGCCGTTCGTAAGTCGAGACCCCACTGTATCAAGAGTGCCAGCAGTATGCCTGTGAACAATCTCATCATCTTTAGGTTGCATTTTAGCAGAGCAACAGCCCCAAAGGTAGATATAAGGATTATGAGCGTGCCAATAACCGTTATGATCATAGGAACTCCTGAAATGGCTTCATTCAGTACTAGGGATACGAATATCCCCGCACAGGTGGAAATAATGAGGGTTTTCACTGCCACCGCTGGGTAGAGGCTTCCTATTATGCCGTTGTCCACAGTCGATTACCCCATCCTGGCAGGAGGCAGGATGACAAGCTTCTCTGCTAGGTTGGAGAGTGGCTAATCCATTGCGGAGAACAGCGCAATAGGAAGCCTCCACAGAGCTGGCGGCAGTAGACAAATTGTGAGTGGACAGTCCGGTCCCATGGGGCTGGACCCTCATTATTTCCACTTGTGCAGGGATATTCGTATTTGTATATAAATACGAATACCCCCATCTCTATTCAGTACCAAAAATGTTTCATGAAACTTCACTTGAATGGACACTCCTATGCACATTAACGCAAGTCCAGAAATCCAGTAAAGTAAGATAGCCAGCCATAAACAAATTCTAATAACCCTCTCCCAATTAGTAACCTCTTTTTCCTTCATCCTGATTTCTATCCTATCCCTCCTAAGACCTCTGGCAAGGATAGATATACTGACATAAATCAGTGCTTCCCGTTGTCACAGCTGTCCAATTTATTATCAAATTTGTTCTGGTAATTTTTGCTTACAGTCATGTTGATCTAATAGTTTGGCAAGTGGAAATAATCTATGGTAAACTTATTGTCATTTGGTGAATGAAATTGCCATTTGGTGAAAGGGTTGGTGAATTAAGTCAAATAGCCAGAAATAACTGCAAGTTAATAATTATGCAAAACACTCAAGTGTACCCTGAAAATATAACTGTTGCCAGGAAAATCTGAGTTTTCTTGCTTTTGCACTTCTTTGTTTAGTTTGACTTACATACATACTGACATTCTGAGAAATCGATTACTTAGATACTTGGTTTCTGTTGTATAAATATGTGGCATGCAAAATTTAAAAATGTACCCATGCTTGGTAGCACAGAACTGCATATTGGGAAGTAGTCTTTCTGTAATTTTTTCTGTGGATGCCAGTTATTGGGGCAACAGTACCTTACTTCCTCCACTTGTAGAAATGACAACTTTCTATACATATTTTAGAAGAAGTATATATTTGCATGGGGAGCTATCTGGGAATCACACATCCAACTGTATTGTAAGTGGAAATTTCAAGGTGCTCATACATAACACATTCCAATTTCCTGAAGTCACTGAAAACATGTAGAATTTTAGATGACGTATTTCTTAAATGACAGTTATGTCTATTAATTTATGCAACCTTTTGACTTCTAAAGGTGTTAATTCCTTAATGGTTTCACCTCGTCTCTTGGCAATGTAACATGCATTTAGCTTTAGCTTATCAGATGTGTATCTGGGCAAATATTCAAGAGAAAGATTAATTGCCACCCTTATTGACAGTTCCACATTTTCTTGGTGTTTTATGAAGCCTTAAATAATTCTCAATAGTTGTCTTATTTCCTGAAGATGACAAAATGTTCTTTTGCTTTCTCTAGTTCCTCTGTGGCATAGTGATATATTAAAGCAGCTTTTATTCTTCAGGGATGCATTAGCTTTCTAACTAAATAAGCATACTGTCACCTTTAGTGAATGATGTACAATGTAATAATAATGAAAATCAATTTGTAAGCACTATAAAATTATACATTTTTTTACTTGTTTCTGGAATTCTGGCTACATGATATTCAAGTGAGCTCATTGGAGGCATGATATAAGAAATGACTACTTAAAAGTCCATGTAATTAAAAACAGAAATGAGAGCTAGTTTAAGATATAAGATATTTTCTTACTTAACTTTTCAGGGTTGAATATTTAATATTTCAGGAATATATCACTGCCGTCTTAAATTAATAATGAACTTATTCTTCCATGTAGGAATAGGATCACCAAAATTATTCTGGGAACAGAGGGATAGGAAAATGGAGGAATTACATATGTGTACAGAAAAGAGTGTGTGCTTATCCGTACTTATTGTTAAAAAACAGTCATTCATTCATTATAATTGTATTCTGTTGTGCCTCCCAGAAATGCAAGGTGCTACACATTGGCCTAAATCCATTGAGGGATGTATACTGATGGAATGACTTCCATCAGCAAATTTGAGAAGGCAATAATCCAAAGCCATTATTCAGTATTCCTGGTCCTTCTCTCACACTTGTCTTCTTGAATGCAGTTACCTGTGCACCCTCAGAAACTTCTTTAGAGTGGTGGGAAATAATCCAAAGCCAGTATTCAGTATTCCTGGTCCTTCTCTCACACGGGAAGGAAGTTCCTATGCCCTGGATCTAAGCCATTGTTCTTCCCCATTTTATTCTCAGACAAGCTATGAGAGGTATTTTAGACTAAGAGATAGTGACTGGCCCAAGGTGAGCCAGTAAGTTTCAGGGCTGAATGGTGATTTGAAGCTTGGTTTCTCTAGTTGAAGCTCAACACTCTAATGACCATGCCAAACTAGTTCATGTCTAACCTTGAGATAAGGGTAGATCAAACTGAAATGTTCTAATTCTAACGGGAGCTGCAGGTAGCAAATCTGGCTGTAGCAAGTTCTCAGAAAAACATACACACCATAGTGGATGAAAAATAAATGACTACAGATTTAATGGATATAGCTCAATAATTTTGTTCAGCATAGGTTAATAGCCGTTCATCGACTTTCTTACTCACCAGTGATCTATCCTTGGCTCAACTGCTGGGGAAACCAATGAAATAATACTATGTGGGCCACCTGGGTACTTGATCACTAGGTGGACTCCCTGTCATTCATGTGGGGAAGGCAGTTGTCTCTGTGTTAGGCAGACCTCAGTTGCTTTCACCCCAGGATCCCTTAATGGAATCCCTGAAATGGGGATAGTGGCAAGTACCAAAGCCTGATGACGGGCAAGCAGGTTGGAGTATTTATATGTTCATGGATACTAGCCATTACATTTCCTGCTTCTGGCTGCTAGATTGCAAGCAGGGCCCCAAATGAGTTTCTTGTCATAGCCTCTGTTCAGATATTTACTGGCAGTGTTACAAATAATTCCATGCAGTGCGTTCCACACAGGTTCCTGTACACTAAAATGACCAGATCTGCTTTGTCCTGTTTCCTTTTCTGATACTGAAAAAAGCAGAGCTGGGCCCTTTGTGCATATGGCTTCTTTGCTGTGTTGTGTGTCTGGTGAAGATGGTTCCGAGTCTGTTCATTCACCACATAAAGCTAATACTTGCTAGCTAACTTTCTGAAATGAGCACAAGCTGACAACACTAGTTTTTCCTCTTGAATTTCGCCGTACAGTGTATTGTATCATAAGAATGGGGTCATGAGTGTTAGAATAAACACTATAAGTAATACGCTACAGTGTAACTGTCATTCAAAGTTTTTAATTAGGAAGAAGTTAAAGGTTGTTGACTTTATGTTCTAGTACAATTTTATTCGTACTACTCCCAGGCATGTATCGTATTGCTCATTAGCATGAAATAATTATATGCTGAACTTCATATGACTTCCTTATTTGGTTTGGTTTATAATGTTGTACATTTATCCTGTGAACGTATGCAACAATACTTACGTTAATATTTTATGATAAATGTATGACTCCTTCCAGTGTGCCTTTCTTAATTCATCCTAAGCCGCCTTGAATATTTATTATAGAAACATGAGATGTATACTACTACTACTACTACTACTACTACTACTACTACTACTACTACTACTACTACTACTACTACAACTTAGGCTCTATTTAATTTATTAAGTGTATTCATAAGACCCAGATATAAGGTATAACTGTTTTCTAAACAAGCCACTGTCATGGACTACAAAACAAGGTTAAAATGGCATATGCCATTTTTCCTGTAAGAGTAAGAAAAATTCAGGGGAGGCCATATATACGTGAGCCACAGATGTCAGCCCTAAATTAGTGCTCCAACAGATAACCTAGTGACCAGAGAATGGTACAATTTATTCTGCTCAGCGAAGGTATGGGTGGACAGGCTTATGTTCATGAACAGCAATTTCCTTCACCACACAGCACCTTTTCTTCTGAACAGAATATTTAACAACAAAACAAAACAACCATTTGGCTATTCTCAAGTTCTTCAGTAAGCTTGTAATTGGATCATGGCCATAGAATCCTAAATGAGATAATTCTGTGGGAATTGGTGTTTGTATCATTTCCCCCACCCCAAAAAAAGGAAAGTGTGCTGTTTCTATACTGCCCCATAGGGCTTAAAGCACTCTCTGGGCAGTTTGCAAGTTAATTATGCAGGCTACACATTGCCCCCCCCCCCCAC